GTTTAAGTTTCATTTAATGATCCATCCACTCTCCTTGAATGTAGAGTATCTTGAAAGGTTATTCTACCAACATTTTCATCTTCACATATGAATTTAATGGCCGAATGAACTTCATTATACCTTTTAAAATGTCCTTACTCCATCACCAAGGTCTTTACAAAGGATGTAAGATTATTGTCCATACATCGGTAGTAAAGTAAAAACTTATCAATATACTGTGTGAGTGGACTGTTCCAAAGTTTAAAGAGAATAATGTCAGCAGGTATTATTATTATTATTATTATTATTATTATTATAACTCTTGCAACCTCAGCATCCTTGTCTATCGATTGATTAATTCATACCGCATTCATGTTATTCATTTATATTACATGATACGTGAATTATTAATATTAGTCTAACGATTTCATTTTATGTTTAAACTTAGTCAAGTGAACACGATGTAAATATTAACAGTTTATGCTATAAATCATTCTGAATTCATATGTTAGAATTTCAAACAATATATTGTGCCGTAAATCTGGTCACTTTTTAAATAGTTAATTTGGATATATAATTGTAGAACCTGAAGAGAACTGATTGGAACTAGAATATCCTTCATTCAACTTTTAGTTATTAATTATTTTTGGAGAGTCAGTTGTGTTTTCTTATTGAATGGCCTGCTTGGTCTTTATTTTAGATTCGATGGAATATAACATTGATGAAATCGATTCGTTTAGTTTAGTTTATGCGTTCTACTTGAAGTTTTGTTCATTTCCAAAGCACTTGAAAACTTGCAAACTGATGGAAACAGTCAGGTACTGCAGTCTTGTTTTATGGATTCCAAAAATGTTCAGGTTAGATATAAATACCCAAAATTATCTCACATGGACAATGAAATCAAGATGTACTTTTCTCCAAAACACATCTCGCTGATATTTACAATCTAAATACGCAAAAGATGTTGAACTAAAAAATATGTGCAGCACTTCATGGGAAATTCAATTTCTAGTGATGAGTAAAAATTTACGAAAAAACCACTTTCTACGACTTCTCTAAATTTGTTTATTTTGATTCTGAAACACGAATTTCAGCAGTTACTCTAATTTTGATAGAACAGTGAGAAGACGTCATTGATCTGAAAAATGTCATGTATCTGCACCATACATTTCAAACAATCTGGTCACACATATTTACTTGTCAAGGCATTTTATATGAAGGTGAATAATGTTCAATCTTCATATAAAATGCCTTGACAAGAGTATATATGTGTGACCAGATTGTTCGAAATGTATAGCGCAAATACATCATATTTTTCAGATCAATTACGTCTTCTCAATGTTCTATAAAAATTTATAAAAGGGACTAATTGTTTTAAGTTACTCTAATCATTACGAGATTTTTATTGAAATAACCTGAACTTAAACTGGTCCCTTCGATGAAGACGAAGATTTTCACCCATCAAGATATTGTTTTATTTTGGTGAAATTTATTCAGAGGAAACAAAATTTACGGCAATCATGTGACTAACGTTCTCTTTTGAATAGAGTTAAACAGTTTTCACAATTCAACAGATGAACAATGATATTTTGAGTATTTTTTTGTATCAGGCAGTGTTAATTTTACCTGAATTACAAATCTCAAACAAAAAAATCAATACATATTTATTTAAATCGACTAGGTTCGGTCTTCCGGAATGTGTTTTCGTTACTTGTTAAATAGTATTGTGTGGAAGTCAGACGATAGCATTTCTTGTCGGATTAAACGCATCACATGTCAGCTTTTGATATGATATATATACAGTTCATCGTGTTATTTGCTTAATGCTTCCCTAGTATATTTTATGGTATACTGCCATCCCAATAACAATGGCCCTTTGGAATGTTAAAAACAACCACCAGTATCAATAAAATCGGTCACCTTGCTAGCCAATTTTACATATGGATTGTTAGCAATACTTACCAAAGTAATGCCAAGCAGCACATAGTGTTCATTGCAAACCTTTGGTCTCATAAGAAACCTTCACCTCGCTATAGCAGTATTGCATATGGTATACACATAGTATGACGTAGGATGGCAAGAGATACAGTCCAGCTTGATGCAAATAGACTCAAACACTCTTAACACCCTCTTGTCTTAAGTTTGTTAACGATTGTTTTGCGATACCGAAATTTCCGTTTTTCGAACATACGAGACACAAGTTAGGGATTTTATTACAGCGTTACTCAGTAAAATTGGAAAACCATATCGTAAATCGTTAATTTGCAAAATATCAGTTCATCATCATATAGAACTGGACTGTTGCTGTTGCAAAACATCATCAATCCATTGTCACTATTCATGCGTTTCATACAAATTCCATTGTGTTCTAACTCTTCCTTTCTTTCTTGATCTTCTCCCATCTTCTGCTGCCAGACATTACGTTGACACTCACGTCATATACTACTTATAAGTAGCTCACACCACACTACCAACATGAATAGTTTGTTCTGTGCAGCATAAATGGTTTCACATTTCGTTTCATCAAACAATTTTTGGAAAAATTCAAGATTATTGTCGTCTTTTTAAAAAATAATAAAAAATGTATTGTGAAACTTATTCCACCGCGAAAAAATTTCTCCACTTATTCCTTATCTAAAAAAGTAAGTAGTACAAGATGATTTCTTAAAAAATCTTAAGCGATGTTCAAAAAATTACACTGTAAAATGATGTTCTTGTTTTTTTTTACATTCTTTGGCCCCCAAGATTTGATTTTTGGTTTTATTGGAAAAAAAATTTTGCGTTTTTTTTAAATGTCATCAATAATTGACAATTGTTTTTTGGTAGTAGTATATGTATATACCCAAAAATCAAGACACTAAAAATTTTATTGTAAGCCATTTTTAAATCATTTAATTTTTATAAAATAAGATTTTATAAAATAAGTAGATTATTTTTTCCTTAACAAAAAAAATCTCACTAGAATAGTAGACACAATATCAGGGAGATATATGCTTTGTTTTTTTTTTCAAAGTAATTGTAGTGAAGTTGCATATAATTTATTTGTAAGTAAGAAAATAATATAGTTGTATGAATTATTAATGAAGCTATTATTTACTTAATTATGCCTGTTACCACTCATAAGGCTTTCTTTTTCGGTCTCATCCAATTTTGCTGTACATTCTTCCAATCCTTGGAGTAATGTTTTGATTGGTCTACCTGCCTTTCATCTTTCCTTGACCTTGAGGATTTCAGGTTAGGGCTCTTGACTTGTGACACAATAGTTGAGTGCTTTCCTCAAATCGAAGCCATTAGGAAATACTAAACAAGATATATTTCTTTCATTGTACATAATATTTGATCAGATATCATTACTGTTAAAAATTATACATTTTTAAGCACATGAATTTGGACATTCACTTGCTGGGAAAATAGATAATTACAAGCTTTTTAGAGGTGTTTTCCCACATTACTCATTTGTGGTGTGATGGTTAGGCGTTCGCACACAATGCCGATGTCCCGGGTTCAAATCCCGTGAGTTGCAGGAGTCGAGGATGCGTACCGCCACTGATGAGTCCCATACCAGGGCGAAACGTCCGTCCAGTGCTTCCAGGTTTCTAATGGTGGTCTAACAATGATTGATTGATGATTTCAAATGTGTAAAAACACAAATCTCCATAACTCTAACTGAAAAATTTTTATTTTTCTCTAAATGAGTGAGTGTATTTTCGAGTAAAGTGAATTATTTGCAAAAATAGTCACATGTTTCTAATTTTCTTAAAATGTAAACGGGCCTTGAAAAAGTGTCTACGATAACGTGTAATAAGACATGCTAAGATGATAGGCAATTTGTGTCAAAAGTCACACGACAGGTATTAAACAATATTTCACTAATTCAGTGCGATCATTCACTTGTAATAAAATTTACAAATATCTACCATAGGATGCCAGCTCAGTGGTCTGGAAGTTAGACATTCGGGGGCACGAGACCGAAAACCCTGGATCCTAATCCCGCGAGAGGAGTCATGAATGCACACTGCTGATGAGTCCCATAATAGGACGAAAAACTGTACAGTATTGCTCAACCTCATTCATTGTCTTCGGTTAATTTATTTACCTCAATAATTTCTAACGGTAACGTAGGAAATTTCCTCAAATGACTTCAGGTAAATGAACTTACCAATATTAGTTATACCAATATAGAAACATTTCAAAAATGAACAAATATTTTAAATAAACAATATTTAAAAAAGCAATAAGGATGGCCAGTTAATTTGATTCTATGGATAAGCATCCAGTATTCCATTGAACTCGTGATTGTTAGATTTCCAAAGTAGATGTGTGGTGTGAGCTACTTATAAGTAGTATATGACGTGAGTGTCAACGTAATGTCTGGTAGCAGAAGATGGGGGAAGATCAAGAAAGGAAGAGTTAGAAAACAATGGAATTTGTATGAAATGCATGAATAGTAGTGACAATGGATTGATTTTTTGCAACAGGAACAGTCCAGTTCGACTGATATGGACTGATATTTGCAAATCAAAGATTTACGATATGGTTTCCTATTTTACTGAGTAACTCTATAATTTTTCGTTAAATACAATTCAGTCGCCCTGACCTGTCTTCTCGTTCACTACAGATGCTCTACCATGAGATCATTGGATTAGCACATCCAGTGGTTTGCATTTTCATCTGTTACCACAACCAGATCCACGATATATCAACGTTCATGGTTGTTGATAAAAACCCATGCTTAAAAGTATTCAGCTGTCAATAAGAGTGTTGTTACTTACGGTTATCGTGTAATTAATTTTTACTATATAACATCACGAAATAGCCACAAACTCTGTACAACTAACTGGTTATAATTACATTTGTTTTTTTAGATAAAACAGTTTAATAATGAGATTTTTCTATTATTTCTATCGGTTGTTTTGAAATGCTGAGAAGACAATATAATCAGTTCAATAACAAACAACATAAATCATAATCATAAATTTTTAATCACTAATATATTTTTTTCTCCTTGTTCTTTTTCCGTTCACACACACACACTCTCTCTCTCTCTGTCTTGATTATTAGTGTCTTTGTATCACATAGCTTTTACTGACGATAACAGTTCATGTACATACATGTATATCATCTATCTATGTGTTGTATTGTCATAAGATAAATTTTCTAGGGAAAAATAATGAAAAAATAGACCGTTTAATTATTCCCAATCTGTTATATTGGAAGTTGTAGTGAAAAAATCCAAAGTTAATTTAGTGAGATATTAACACTGATATAATTAGATGATCATTTAGTTATATTGTGGTGTGAGCTACTTATAAGTAGTATATGACGTGAGCGTCAACGTAATGTCTGGCAGCAGAAGATGGGGAAAGATCAAGAAAGGAAGAGTTAGAAAACAATGGAATTTGTATGAAACGCATGAATAGTGACAATGGATTGATGTTTGTTGCAACAGGAACAGTCTAGTTCAATATGACGGACTGATATTTTGCAAATGAACGATTTACGATATGGTTTTCCAATTTTACTGAGTAACTCTGTAATTTTCGTTAAATACAGTCTGGTTGCCTCACCTGTGTTCTCGTTCACTAAAATATTACTAATCGGTCGATATCAGAAACCAGAACCCTTGGATTGTAACTCACTGGTCTGGAAACCATCTAGTTGAAACCTGTGCAGTATTCCGTGCGATCGAGCTCAACGCGAGATGAGTCCATGCTATTTTCTTGATAAATAAACCAATTTAAAATGCTGTTTCTAAGATGTTAATTGAAAATTCCGCGAAATCAACTAATTTGAGTTCATGCACATTGTTCTATGACAATGAATGTATACAACACTTCAAACTTTGCAATCACACAAACAAATTTTGATTAACAAATCAAATCGTTACAGCATACAATTGTATTTTGTAGTCGCTAATATTTGGTAACTCTTCTTGTCATTAAGGTTGTTGAAGCCAATTAAGCTTTTCCGGTCCACGGATACAATTATTAAGGCAAATAGTTATTTTCACTTTTATTGGTCGTGCCTTTCGTCCCACTTATTAGTTACCACGTAACAATGATTTACACAGGACTGTCCGTTGGCATTTATGTAGGCTATTGATTTTCATTTTCGTTATCTGCGTTTGTTTTGAATCAGTTGTCATTGTAGGTATGGAGGTTTTTTGTTCAAAGATCATTAAGGTTTTATATCTGTTGTCGTAGGTTGAATGTGATGTCAGTGGCAGGGGTTAATGTCTCTTTTGTCTTTCTGTTGTTTTGTATAACATTAAGCAGCATAATTCTGTTTCTATGGAAGTTTAAGTTCTTGAATGGTCGTTTCTCAATTGTCTATTTATCACGAACATTTGACCGCAGTTTGTGTTCGAGCGTCCTATCATTACTTAGTTTTATCGTAGTTCAATGTTGTTCCGCTCAATGTAGTGATAATACTTATTTGAGCGTCTAAAATGTTTAATCTTATTGCCTTTGCTGGCTCTCTATATAGGATTTACGCCAGGTGTTTTTTATAGTTATGGTGCTTTCAAAAAGTTCATTCATTGAGCTGTCTAGTCTTTTGTCAATAGTGGCGTTTGGCTCTCTAAGTTGGATGTTTTTGTTGTGGAACATGCTGACGAAGATATTCGTGGAGAAATTACAGTTGTTCTCAAGTGGAAGTCTGCGAAATTATTCCATTTTTTGAACAACGAGAACCGTGTCATGCTCATGGGATTTTGAGATGGTGGAGAAAATTTGTAGCTGCACGTTTGGTTGTGCTCTGAGAACGAAACTGCAACATTCATCCAACTGAGCTACAAATTTTCCTCCACCATCTAAAAGTTGATTCAGACATGTAGTCAGATTCTTCCAAAAGTTGGATGGACATGTTTGAGATATAATCTTATATTCTAGCGTCTTTCACTTTTAGATCTTTCCGTGTGTTTATTCCAACTATCTCTGATACTTGATTAATACCAGGGATTTAATCAGCCTCCTTATAGTTGGTA